TAAGTTTTTTGTAACAATTGTTGCACATTGTTATTGGAATTCTCTGTTAATACAAGTTCTGCAATGTAGAACAATTCGATTTTTCTCATTTTTAGTGTCTGCGTCCTTCATTTCTTTTAATGGCAGTAAAATAGTTTTGTTTTGAAAAATCAGCTGACTGATTGCATGTTTTTGGAGGGATTTCGTCTGTTTACTTGTCACTATTTTGTTGCAAAAGAGAATAAAATATCTTTAAGGTGAGAATACATAAAATGTTTTTTTGACTGCCTTAAGTCATCGACTGGCTTCTTCGGAAATGAACAGAGCATAGCCTAGGGCCAAAATCGAACTAAGTCAACCTAAAACTCCTTTGATTCTCTACGAAAAAGCTATTTGATGATTTAAGCCAGTAAAAAAAGTTTTATGTATTCTCACTTTTACTTTCTCCAAAAGAATCTGCAGTCACTAATTAATGTTTAATTAATTTTAATGTTTAACGGATTACTAATAACATGTTAATATAGGGTAATACCTTCATATGGCGTTCCCATTTGTTAAAAAGGGAGTGTGATAGATAGTGTCTTTCGGGTTTTGCGCTGTCCTTATATTAGGTCTGCCTAGTTACCCGTCTGTGCTATGAAAGAGATCGATTCGATTTTGCAGTTCTTTTAAGAGAGTTTGCAAATTCTTGCCGAACAAAATTTTTCTTGCAATCTCTTGCATCTTTTCCATTTGTGGTTTGCATGGTAGAAGAATACAGGTAGATGCATAAACGCTTGGAAACATTATGGATATTATGGATATGTCAAAAAATTTTAAATGTCTTTTCAAATATAAGTAGATTTATATTTGGTTTCTTATACGACGTCATTCGGAGGGTATTATAATACGCGTTTTCAACAATTTTTACAAATTTAAATAATTTTTCATTCCACATTTTCAATTCCAAAATTGGTTTGACAGTTCATTTTCCCAGCGGCTGTGTCGATGCGTCTACCTATATTTTTCTACCATGTTTTTTTGCGATTGTTTTTTTTTTTTTTTGGTTGCGTAAAATTTATTTTGTTGTGACAAAACAGCTGATTGTACACTTTTTCAGGGTTGCGATTGTTTATTGCAGAAAACTATAGTTGTGTTCCAGAACCTACAAATTAGTACTAATTAGTACTAATTCTGCTGCAACGCGTTCCCGTACTGCAAAAACTAGCAAAACTTGCAGCTCTCTCGAGAAAAAAATGGCGCTGAGTGGTGCACATTTCTGCTTGTTTTAGCTACATGAATTTGGCCGAGCAGAAATGTGCAAATTGTGAATTTGACATTTAATTGGCAGGGCTAACAAGGTTGAAAAATGTATTGATACATTTCAATGTTCCCGCGTCATAACAAAAATAAAGAAATGATCAACTTAAAAACTAAAGGAAAAGCTAATATTTGTAGTGCAAAAAAACAAAAAGAGAAAATATGGAGCACTTTTGGATGATTCCAGTAGTGAGGAGGACTGGCTGAATGATGAATCAGACTATTAATTATTATTATAGATTATTAATTTTAACGTATCGTCTTCAATACTAATTTTTTAAATTTTGGCGTCCGTTACAGTAAGGTTTCACCAGTCCGATTTGGACTGTTTACTCTTGGAATTTTGACATTTTATCGCATTTCTGCTAATTTTCCGTTCCCTTATTTTTTGAGCACACCTAATTGAGAATGACATTTCGAACTGTTCTCTCTTCTGCAAGTTTTACTACTAAAAAAGTACTGGAACACAACTTATGTTTCTGTTTCTTTCATGCTATAAGAATACAGGAAGTCGCATCGACATAGCTACGGGAACAAAGAAATTGAAAACTTTTTTTTTTTAAATTGAAAACTTTAAAATGAAAAATTATTTAAATTTGTGAAAATTGTTAAAAAATATATATATCATAACAACCTCCGATTGGTGTTGTATAAGAAAACTTATAAAAAACTACTTAGTTTTGAAAAAACATAAATAATTTTGACTTATTAATGTTCCCAATCGTTGATACATCTACCTGTATTCTTCTACCATGCCCAATGGTTGTTGCAACATGTACCTTTTAAGCAGAGTAAAAATGAACTATTAAAAAAATGGGACGGAAAATGAATGCTTTGAAGAGTTAGAAAAGTTCTGATATCCTTAATATGCAAACAATTTTCATTTATCAATTTGGTTTTTTGTCTTTTTAACATTTTGTGAGAAATAATTTTATTAAATTTCTATCTGTATAATTAATGGATCATTTTGAGTCCTGTTCCACATTTACACGGTTGTATTCATTAAACCGCAGGTTGGTTTTAAATGTCTGTCTCTTAAATTTTAATCGTCCATTTTTTGATATGAATAAATCCGTAGTTATAGGGGATGTAGCTCAGTGGTAGAGCGCTCGCTTTGCATGTGAGAGGCCCCGGGTTCAATCCCCGGCATCTCCAAGTATAATTTTGTCCCAGAGACATTTCTTGACAAAATACAACTGAGGACTTTTATACTTCAATTTGTGTTCAGAAATTATAATTCAAATATACAGGGTGAGATATTTTTTTTTTAAATTTTATTGAATGAAAGCAAACAATGTCGGAAATAACATCAAATTGTAGAATAAGTTTAGATTTTTTCGAATTGGTCACCTTTCGCACGAATTATGGCCTTCAAAACGACATGAATCCATCACACGCTGCCCGAATGTTGCTCTGCGTCATGTTGGTCCATTCCCGGCGAAGCGCTTGAGTGAGATGTATTTTAGTGCCAACCTTGCTTTCTGAAATACTCCAGACACAATAGTCCAAGGGATTGGTAACCGGAGATGCCACCATAATACACCCTCCAGAATATTTTCGCGATAATATTCGGCATTTATTCTGATACCACGGTCGATTAATATGAGCGAACAGCGACGATCGGCTGTTATGGCGGTCCACACCATCACCATGGCCGGCGCTTGAGTTCTGGTGGCCAACCAAAGGTGCACATTTTTAGCTGACCTCTTTGGCAAGTAAACACGATAATTTTGTTTGTTTACAAACTGCTGGACCACGAATTTTTTCTCATCGGAGAAAACCAAATTCGGCAGTTCACCACTTTCGGCCAAGCGAAGCAACCCTTTAGCTCTTTTGAGTCTATTATCCTTCTGTTGCCATTTTTCGGCCACTGCGACGCGGTTTTCGATCTAGTTGCTTCTTCACTTCTTGAACCATTTCTGCTGATGTTGCTGTTTTCTTCCGTCAACTTCCTTAACGTCGGGCTACGCTACCAGTATCACGGTAACGAGCGATGGTACGAGACACAAAAGATTTATTCACTTTTAAATGCTAAAGTGCTCTAACGATAGCCACTTGTGGTTTTCCGTCCAAATATAAAGGAATCACGCTTGAATTCCATCACAAATAACTTTTTTGTGTGTGGAAAATTCTCACCAAAATGCTTTTGAACGCTTTCACTGGAATAATTTTAACAGCTGTCGGATGAGTGGCTTAGAAATGACAGCAGTCTGAAGTTTGTTGGAGTTTTTTCACCTCACCCTGTATAGCTCTTCATTAATGACATGGTAGATATGATGAACAGATTATGTTATTGCCTTTGACTTCACTTTGTGAAATATTTGAAACTTCGGAGAGTTCCTTTGGGCATAAATATTTAGGGGAAATATTCTTTGCAATTTTTAATACTATTACAAATCACATGCGCTGTAACCAAAAATCTTTCGTCGACTATATAAAAATATTTATATATTTGCTTTTGTATCTTCTCTTTAGGATACCTTACAAGGTAATATTGTTTCTTATTTATTCTATCCCTACCATTATTGTTTTCCTCATCCACAATCTTCGGATGTGTTATCTAAATATTGAAGTAATAATTCAGGATAAATTTAAGGATATTTTTTTACTTTACATTGAAAAATGTGATTATTTATGGGGGATGTAGCTCAGTGGTAGAGCGCTCGCTTTGCATGTGAGAGGCCCCGGGTTCAATCCCCGGCATCTCCAGTATTTTAAACTAGATAGGATACTCTACAATCAATTTGAGTAAAAACGTAATTTCAAACTGCTATTAGGAAAATTAAAATTACATCAAAATAAATTAGAAAATTTAGTTAAAACCTTTAACAAAATTTAACGTCTAATGTTATAGGGGATATTCTGTAGATTATCTTCAATGACTCTATCGGGGGTACTGCTAAATAGCACTACAAAATGGACTCTACTGTATTTTGCGAGGAATAAAGTTAAATGCCACATTAAAAACATTTCGATTAGAATATTCATGTAAATACCACCTTCAAAATGCCTGAAATCGTTTGCTACCGTTATGTAAGAACCACCGACGTACGAATCAAACCAACCCCAAAATGATACATTTATGGCACATTTTCTATTGAAAAATCAATATTTTGTCGAGAACCAATAATGAATAAGGATTTTTAAGGATTGGAACTTAGTTCCGCTGTAATAACAATGCACCGAATAATCAGAGCACATAAACAAAATTATATTACAGACTTATGTAACAATCCATGGTCGAGGATTCGGCTTTTGAGAACGCACAATTTTTTTGGGTTGTTTTGTATAGCATTCATAGTCTTACAGAAATGGGTAGAGGACACCGCAATTGCATAAGATGAAGTAGAAGTTGTTTCCTTGTATCCATAAAAAAATCAATTATATTACTCGGTGTAAAAAGGTTCAAGTGTTATCAATACCTTAAATCGACAGGTACCTTTAAATTAAGTTTAAATCAAACTGTGACTTGGAACAGAAAATACCCAATTCAATTAATATCTACAAAAAAAACATAAAATCAATATATCTGAATTGAAAACAGGACTGATTCGCGCAAGATTTCAGACATCGAACGTAATTTCTCAGGAGTACTTTAATAAATTTAATCACATTGTTCGTATCCATGACTTGTTAATGATAGGTATTAATAGATAATTACCCATGATTAAAAGAAATAAAATCCAATAAATTGAATCTATACTTTAAAACATTTTTTACGCTCTCATTTTTTGTATTGACAAATAACTAAGATTTATTAAAAATTCTTTAAATTGATATAACATTTTGTTATTTAATTTTTCTTCAGAAGATTATTTTGTTGTTGAAGCAGCAGATAAGCAGTAACTTGTGGTTTTAAAAACATGACACATGTCCCCTAATCTCTATCTTCTTCTTCATCTTAGTCATCTTCATCCTCGTCTTCATCTTCCAAATCTAAATCATCCAATTCATCGGCTAATCCCATAAACAGATCCTTATTGATGGGAGCAGCATCAGTGGCAGGTGTGTTAGATGTTGCACTCTCTTCGTCAGCAGCTGCAGCGGCTGCCGCTTCGGCTTCTTGTTTCTCCAATGCATCGGCCTGTTCCTGTAGACGTGTTGCTGAAGCCTGTGTACCCGTTCCATCAACCTCCTGGGCTGACAGAGAAAGTGACGCCAAATCCAATTCTTTGTATTCGACTTCTTCTTCGTTCTCTTCACGTTTATAGGTGTCAAAGGCAGCATCGCCATCTTCCATCGGACCATCATCCACCAAATCTGGATTGAAGCTAAACATTTCTCTACCAGAGATACCGAATTGTTTGCCTTTGCTAAAGTCATTCTTTTTGCGTTCCTCATCAGCGGCCATTTTATCTTTCTTTTCTTGGATCTTTCGTTTCTTCCAGGCCAAAAATGTTTCCAGCGTTACTTTAGTGGTATTGGGACCCAAAGCTGCGCGTTCCTTTTCGATTAGATCTACCAATGAAATTTCCGTTGGTTTGTCTTCCTTCTTCTTGTCCTTCTTCAGCACATAGCCCTGTGGCAGAGCATGTCGATAAATGCACTTCTCGCCGTTGGGACATTCCCAGAACCAGCCGTATTTCGATTTTTCCACCGCCTCAATGAAATACTTGCAAATAATATCAGTCGTGGGCCTTTTCTTTTCACTGGAATGTTTCTGATTAACCACCTCCTTGAGTTTGGCATCATCCCAGTTCTTCATGTCATCCTCTTCGGCATCACGCATATCCACATAGATGGAACGCTTCTCGACCTTATTTTCCACAGCCAAGTCATGGGAGAATTTACATTTGTCACCTTTGGTACATGTTCCCTGTTTGAAGAAAGCACACACAACCGACTTGGGGTCTGTACCCTTTTCGACCTTCTGCACCGGCTTGAAAATCAATGCCAATTCCTTTTGTTCCTGCAATTTCTTCTCCTTTTCATCCTTCTTTTTGTTGTCGGTGCGCGGATGTTGACCACCGCTGTTAACCTGCTTCTGAACTTGTTGGATGAATTTTTGCTGTTTGGAACCCTTCTTGTTCTTTAAACCGAAAGTCTTGTCCTCAATGACCTTTTCCTTCTTTTTCTGCTCGGTTTTTTTGCTTGGCGCAGGAGCTTTTTTTGGAGGCATATTTCAGTCCAATTTTCTTTTAAAAAAATCTCGTAGTCTCTTAATAAAAAGTCTGAGAAGTTTCTATAGCTGGCTGCGTGGTTGGTAATTTTGACATTTGGCCGTCAATGTGTGTGAATACCTCCATCACATTGTTGCTGATTTCGATAACAGCGTATCTAGTGACATTGCAGGGTAACACGTTTTACTAATCGAAATTGATTTTCTCACATGGAATAGGCAAATGCAGAATTTTTATCGGTATTATTGAGAAATTCGCATATTTTTTATACGGTCAACTGTATTTTTGTATCAAGTTATATTTTCCTATTAGGAAGTGAACTGCGACTATGCAACGTGCAAAAAGTAGTTCTGGGTTTTAAGATTTTTTTTTTTGTAATTAAAAATCAGGAACAATGTGAAAAATTCTCTCGTTCAATATCGAAAAACTTTTTGGGCGAAATGGATTAGCTTGAATAAACTGAAAATTTCGGTAGAGACGGCTAGACTTGATAGATTTAATTTTAATTGTTTTAAAATGAGAGTAAATAAATTTATTTTATTCGAAATTGTTCGATTATGGCTTCAGAAATCAAATGAATTTCAACAATTTACATTTTTACTTAATTGTGTTAAAACAAAAGTATGGCCCATATTTGAAAACTTCCTTTTTCCACTACGAATCATGACTACCCATTGCAAAATAAGAAAAGTAGTGTAAAGCTCATGGTAGAAAAATACAGGTAGTCGCATCGACACAGCTGCTGGGACAATGAACTGTCAAACTGATTTTAGAATTTAAAATGTTGAAGGAATGTTCCTTGTCCGAAGAATTCAGCCTATTACTTGAGCCACTCAAAAAAGCCTTTTATGTTATCCTACCTTTAGGCTTATCATTATCAAAATATATGTTTTATATGTGTTTTCCCAAATACAAATCGCGGAAAGAAGAAACATAGCAAATGATTGCAACAAGAAATTAGTTCAGAAAAAATTTCCAAACACTCGGTGAAAGTATGTCAAAACTCCTCTCATCTCTCTCTCTTTTGCAGAATTTTTGTGCTAAAAGAAATAGTTACAAATTTTAGGTTATACATACACACCTAATTTTCTTCTAGCTGGTTGACTGCTTGAATATTTTCATTGAAACGTTTAATTTTTATAAATTTATTTAATTTTATTACTATGCTCGTGTGCTTTGTTTCTTATGCATTTCTTTGTTTTTCCCTTAGATGTTTGTAAATTCGCCACAAAAAAGATAAACCGAGGCGAATTATTATTCGCTTCAGACGAAATTTTGACAGTTAGCGCAACCTTGAAGACAAGGTAGGCCAACTTTGAAAAAATTGCAAGTATAGAGGTCTACCTGTTTGGCTTGTAATGTCAGAATTAGTATCAAAACAATACAAAATCAAACAACTTGTTGCATTTGATTTGAATAAATAATTGAAAAACGCGATAACTGAATGAAAGGTCAACACTTATTTTCAAAATCATGTATTATATATCTCTAAAGAATTATTTCGCTACAAAAACTCTAGATTTTGTCGATGCATACGATGAAATAAACATTTTGAAAACATCCGAAGTTGAATGTTTTCTGAACAATTTTTTGTTATTGAAAAGAAAACACATACATAAACAAATAAAGATGACATATTAAGCCAAGAAAATAAAAAAATTGAAATCATATGGTATCATAGCCCTACCTTGATATCATTGTACCATGAGGTAGGCTAACTTTGAAAAAATTGCAAGTATAGAGGTGTACCTGTTTGGCTTGTAATGTCACGAAAACAATAAAAAAACAAACAACTTGTTCCATTGATATTGAATAAATTTCTGAAAACAAAATGAAAGGTCAAAATTATTTTTCAAAATCATGTAGATATTGTCGATGCATACTTTGCAATAAGCATTTTCAAAAAAAACTGAATTTAAATATTTTTCTGAACAATTTTTTATTATAAAAAAAGAAAACACACACATAAACACATAATGTTGACATATTGATTTTTTTTTTCAAAACTATGTAGATTTTTATATGTTTTCTTATATCACACCAATCGGAGTTCCTCATGATATGATTTTTCAACACTAACAAGTTTGAATAATTTTCATCAGAATATTCAGCAGCTGTGTCGATGCGACTGCCTGTATTCTACCATGATCATTCCTCCAAAGTCAACATTTTCGCTACGGCACTTTAAAATCTATCTTCAAACAATGTCATCGATCCTACCAGTTATCGATTTATCGTTTATGCTGTTGCAAAAAAAATTGGCGGCAGCAGCGCATTTGTTCAGTCGAAGTCGTCGGTAAACAAACAAACGGGATCGTTGTAAATAAATCAATTGATAACCCAATAAAGTATTGAATAAAAATGCCCGATGATAGTGAAGAAATATTAAAAACAAGAAAATTCCTTAAGGAAAGATTACAAACGGACTACAGTACTTTTCGTGGTCATGAAAATGAACGTGATAATATCCGGCAATTGTTGCAAAGGACAGCAGAAATGGGTGAATCGAATTCTATGCTGTTGATTGGACCGCGAGGATCGGGGAAGACAACAGTAAGTAAATTATATTTACACATTTACCAAAGTAGTGAAATTATCCTAACATTATTTATTTCAGCTCGTTAATGCTGTACTGACGGACCTAATGAAAAACAAGGATTTTATACAAAACACCTTAATTGTCCATCTCAATGGTAATCTACATACAGATGATCGCCTGGCACTCAAGTCGGTTACCGTACAAATGCAGTTGGAAAATGCCACTGATGGCAAAGTATTCGGTTCGTTTTCCGAAAATTTGGCATTTTTACTTGCCTGCTTGAAGGCGGGCAATAAACGTTCTAAAAGTGTGGTATTCATATTGGACGAATTCGACTTATTCTGTGCACATCACAATCAAACTCTGCTATATAATCTCTTTGACGTATCACAAAGTGCCCAGGCACCGATTTGTGTCTTGGGTGTTACCTGTCGTTTAGATGTTATTGAGCTATTGGAGAAGCGTGTAAAATCACGATTTTCACATCGTCAGGTATTTATATTTCCAAATGCAGAAGACTTTGATGAATATGTTAAGCTGTTTGCTGAACTTTTAACCATACCCAGTGAAAAACAATTAAAAGAACTAGCCGACAGAGTTGGCACACTCAAACATTTACAGTCCAGTGAATTGACATTTCATCGCAGCCATTTTCAGCCGTCCAAATATAAGTTTAGCAAGAAATATATGGAAGCATGGAATAAACATATTGCAGAGTTAATTAAAACACCCTCAGTTGTTAAGTCTCTACAGGCTCTATTTGATTTTGATGTTAGTCAAGCTTTCCTTAAGATTTTTATTTTTCGATTGGTTTGCCAAATGCAAACCTCTCTTTCGATTGCGGAACAAATTACCGCCGAACAAATAACCCAGTTAACTGCCATCTATGAAATGGATGAAAAAGTTGAGCTCTTGTGCGGTCTATCCGTATTGGAATTGTGTCTAATCATTGCCATTAAACATCATTCGGAAATTTATGATCGTGATCCATTCAATTTTGAAATTATATTTTCACGATTTCATAAGTTTGCCAAAGTTTCATCGACAATGCAGGGCATTGAAAGGCCCGTGGCTTTGAAAGCTTTCGAACACTTGCGAAATATGGAAATTATATTGCCTCTAACAGCGACAACATGTAAAGTGCAAAAGGAATTTGAAATGCATAAAATGGTTCTAACATATGGTCAAATTAATCAGGCCGTACAACGATATCAAGCCCTGCCCACAGAAGTACAACAATGGTCACAAAGTTCTTTAATTTAAGGCACCGTTTATAATTTCTTATATCATTAAATGTCTAAGTTATTTATTTTTGAGAAAAGAAAACGAAAGAAAATAAAATTTGATTACAAAAAAAAAAAAAATAAATAAAAATATGATATGATTTTTTTATCTCGCTATAATTACGGATTGTTTGCAAAACTATCCGATTTATAACAAAGAACTTATATGATTTTTAAAGGATTGATCTGTTCCAGAACCTGCAAGAATGTAAAAATATTACTATGTTAACCGATTTTCTTGTATGATTCTTGTAGATTCTTGTTAATAATTTCAACTCGCATTTAGAAACATTAAGACTTTCTTCTAGGAATCAATCTGTATTGTTAAGGATTATTAAAACCAAGCCATATTTACATAAGGTATATAAATATAGACAACTTTTGCAGGGATTAATTTGATTTTTTAAGCAATATCAGAACCAAGGCGCATGTACATAAGATATGCATGAATTGCAACAGTAAACAATTTTACAAAAACAATATTTGCTTTATAGAAAACAAATTTCTGTGTACAAGAACCTGCTAGAATCTAGTACATTCTATTTGTCATTATACCCTACAACACTATTTTAAATCCTGGCGAAATCATAAAGCCATGACAAGGTTACTTCTGATCTTTACATTGATGTTAACATCTAACAAATCGGATATATAGTAAAATATGTACGATATATATGTATATCAAAGAGGATATTTTTAAAAGATCTCTTATATGTCGAGAACGGCTGCACTGATTTCGACAGTTCTCATTAATTCAGAATGGCCTCTTGGCAGAAAAGAAAAAACGTCTAAAAAATCGCATAAAAATATCTCTCTAAAGCTGAAAATATTGATTTTGTAACATTTTCTCATATTTTTTCAATTTTGTCAAATTTTTAGCATATTTTCATTTTGAATTAAACATTTGGTAATATTTCTACAGCTAACAAAACTAAGTAGTTAGGATATCAGGATATCATATACAGATCGCATTTATGGCCCGATCCTTACGAAATTTTGCTTGGGGATAAGATGAGGGTCAGAATAGAAACCTACTCTTTTTGGAGATGATCGCCATATATTTAGGGGTTGAAATGGACCAAAAAACTGCAAAATTGGAAGAATATAGCCAAATGGCTGTATCTCATATAGATGCGTTTCAGTCAAAAACCAATAATAAATGTTAATCTTTTGCCACTTCTGAGAGATTATAGGTCTTTGGGAAATATTGGTTCCAGATCTAGGAAGACCATTTACGTGCAACATCTACCAATATATTGGAAAGAGCAAATTAGTTTAAGTTGCTATTATTCGAAAATTAGAGAACGAAACCTGATGGTTTTCTTTTATTATTTGTCACAATATATTGTGGAATTCTTTCGAGTATCTAGCCTATATAATCTGTATCGTTTATTATAGTGTTTTAGGGTATTCAACGGTCGGCCCCGCTCGACTGTAGCCTTTGCTTACTTGTTTTTTGTTTTTTTTTTTTTTGATATTATATGATCGTTGTGAACAGTTTTTCATTCATGCAGTTGTGGAACAGACCAATTGTCAATGGAATAAATTTAGTTACAGGGCCTTAAAAAATGTTTCCAAGTAGATACAGAGTTCAAAAATGTACACGAATAGCAAACTACAGGGTGAGATAAAAAAAACTGCAACAAAGTAAAACGCCATACTTTTTACATTTTTTTTTTAAATTTTATTGAATGAAAGCAAAAATTGTCGGAAGTAGCATCAAATTTCAGAATAAGTTTAGATTTGTTCGAATTGGTCACCTTTGGCACGAATTATGGCTTTCAAACGGCCAATGAAACCGTCACACGCTGCCCGAACGTTGCTCTGCGATATGTTGGCCCATTCCCGGCGAAGCGTTTGCTTGAGGTGATCGACACTTTGGTATTTTTGGTGACAACCTTGCTTTCCAAAATACTCCAGACACAATAGTCCAACTCATTTTGTAACCATTCTTGGGTGGCGCGTGCTGAATGCGATGGTGCTGAATCCTGTTGGAATGTCAAAGGTCTGGGCCAAAATGTTTGTGTGCCCAAGGCTTTAATACACCTCTCTGACCTCTTTGGCAAGTAAACACGATCAATTTGTTTGTTTGTAAAGAGCTGGACAACGAATGTTTTCTCATCGGAGAAAACCAAATTCGGCAGTTCAACCCTTTCGGTTAAGCGAAAGAACTCTTTAGCTCTTGAGTCTATTTTCTTTCCGTTGCGGTGTAAGTTCTTGCACTTTTTGGAATTTCAATGGCTTTATCCCGAGCTCTTTTCAATATTTGCCGAATGGAATATTGCGATATGTTCAGCACACGAGTCATTTTTCGGCCACTGCGACGCGGGTTTCGATCAAGTCGCTTCTTTACTTTTCGAACCATTTCTGCTGAAAAAGATTTATTCACATTTAAATGCTGGAGTGCTCTAACGATAGCCACTTGTGGTTTTCCAGCAAAATATAAGGAAATTACACTATCACGCTTGAATTCCATCACGAATACCTTTTTTTCTGGAAAATTCTCAACTTTTTGTACGCTTGTAAACAATATAATGTTAGCAGTCTGAAGTTGGTTGCAGTTTTTTAATCTCACCTTCCATAGCAATTTTAAGTTTCGTTCAAATATGAGACTACATTTTTCAATTCGTTATGTTGGTATTACCAATCATTATTTTCATATGAAATATTACATTAGTGTATATACTTTGGGATATTTATTTTATGTATACCAGCAATCCGCCCAAGCGCGTCAGAATGTATTACATGATCTAGTAAGGGGCGTCTAAAATCATAAGAAAAAACAAAACGTTTACATCAGTACGTATAGCACAGGGGTTTTGATGCCGCTCTGGGGGTTCGCCGACTAAATTTTACAGAAAAAAATGTTAATTTGGTAACAGTCTTCCTTTTGACAACCAGATTCAGAAAGGTGCAGTCGTGCGCCGACTCCCTCATGCCAAAACTGATATCGGGTTAAATTTTCATTGACGTAACGGGGGTCAACATAACAACAACAAAAAAAAAAGCTTCCCAATATTGAGATCTTGAGTACTAATAAGGATGTCAATCGGCCTTTTTCCGTGGGATCTAATATTTTTTCAGTATAGAACTAAAAAAAAAAATCATCCAGCTTGATGTCTTTCCGGAAATACGGAGTTATAAGCGAAATCGATGAGACAAAAGGTATAGAAATTTAAACTTAACTTAAGTTTTTAAAACAAATGTTAAAAATTAATGATTCAGGATAGGTGTTTGTTCTGAACGTCCGTGATCACCAAAAATATTATAGTCAATGATCAATTTAGGAAAATATAAAATATTAATTTATTGAAATAACACATGTGTTTAAAAAAAGCAAAACATTGAATTCATATTAAATTAAGTAATATCCGTCGCATGTTGTAATTGTTATAAATTAAACAAAACATTTTAAGTGCATTGAAAGAAAATGGAGAAAAATCAAAGACATAAAAACAATTGAAATTCAGGTCAAAGTACATGTTGGACTATTCAGTAAAAATGAAAGGAACGGGAGTGCAACTTTTCGTAGCTCACCCGTCATATTTTCAATTGGATCGCATCCATTCAATATATTGTTGTTCCCATGATGTTTCTTTACGTTTTTGTCGACAAAACGTAGAACATTTGACACTGCCACACGTCTCGCATGGATACCAGCATCCTTCACAGCCAACATGCAGGCAATCACAAGGATCGAGCTCTGCTTTATTTGCCACAGACCATTCATAGCTGTTGTATTGGCTCTTATTCGCCATTGTCCCTTTTTTGGAACGTCCTCGGTATCTTTTTGCTGTTGAATCGCTCATTCTGTTAATTAAAAGTTTCTTTTCTAGAACTCTTTCAATGGTTCTTTAAATCCTATCGCCCTTTTAAGACGCAGAAACACAGGAAAATTTATTTCAAAAGTATGATTTCCATTCAAGGCACGCCAAGTTTTGTTATTGTTTGTGGAAGTCCGTTATGGCATAAGGGTTGCCATTTCCCACGAATAACATTCGTTGACACATCGATTATTATTTTCATTATCAACGCACAGTGGGGTGATTTGATATTAAAAAAGGAATTAAATAACATATTCGTTTTGTTCCAGAATGAAATGTGAAAATGTTACTTCCATGGAACAATAACGACAAAGTAGCAATCACCTGAATACAATTTTTTCTTTTGGTATTTTTGTAATGTCAGAACCTGCACGAATCTACTAGTTTTCCAAGTTTTTTTTTCGATATCATAAAGGTATAATCGGTAATCGTAGTAAAAACTTTTATGTGGCGTTTCCACTGCACTTGATTCGCTCTCTATTCGTTGTTTGGCCCTTAACTATGAAAAAACTATCTAATTCTTCACACAAAATTTCCTGAGCGAACACTCATATTTGTACGTTGTTCAAATCAAATCAATCTCAGAACAACGAAAAAATATGTCCCATCCCTAACAAATGAGAGCATTTATCGAAAAAATAAATTATGACATTTAAAAATTAAAATAAGAAAATTTAAAAAAAAATTTAAAATTTTTTGGGAAGACTGAAAATTATGAATGAAAACTACAATGTTGAATGGCGTATGTACATTCAAACGAAAGTACATTTTGTTTTCTCTCTCATCCGAGGTGGGCATTTTGTCCACGAGTTGAAATTTCCACAGAAAACTGGAAACAAAAGATGCATTATTTTCAAAGTGTCTCTCCAGCAGAATTTGAAAATAGAAAAATACTAAAATATGTCCAAAATGTCAACATTTACACAAAAAGTTGAAAACATGAATGAAAATTGTAAAATTAATGATATAATAAATCTTTGGGAGGAAAACAATAATTCTTCTATTCATATTAGTGTGAATTTAATGTATTTTCGTATAAATTCCCATTTAAGTTAAACAAACAAAATTTTTGAAAGAGGAATTATTTTACTATGAATTACGAATCGTGCCGTATGAACGGGTTAATTCGTGTACGTGATTCTGAGAGCAAACAACCTCATTCAATTTATCGTGTGAACATGCTATTACATTCTTGCAGTTCTGGAACCTACCAAGTATAGTTTTTGTATATATATATGTACTTTTCTGAAAAATAAACAAA